TTAACCAAGCAGCTTTCAGTTGCACTTATAGGCAGGATCCAAAATAGCTCATGGTTTGTGGTGGCAGATATATAGGAAATATGAGCCTGTAAGGAACAATATATTGCTTTGTTTTTCATAGCATTGTTCACCACATTCTTATAATGGCCAGACAAGAAACTCTTCAGGCCAAGGAAGGGTTAGGAAAGTGTATACCAAAAAACATTAAAGCCTACGTAGTTTCATAGGATGCCTCTTTGCAGTTCAGAAGAAAACTGGTGAATTATGTCACACTTCAGCTGAATTAAACTGGTTTAGGGAAGCTGGTATCACGGTAATCACTAGGACAGCCCAGTCCAGAAAGAAAGTGGTATTAAGCTATGTTTATAATACGGGGCCATGTGTTCCTTCCTTTTACCACAGAGCCATAAATGTTGCATATCCCGCTTTGCAAGTCAAGGTGTCCCAGAAGAGATATTAACAATATTGGGGGCTAGAGGAAATGGAGGCATCTTACCAATGTGCTCCCCTGAAGGTCTGGCTTGTGTTGGCTTGGAAATCCTTGACAAGACTCAAAAGCACCATTAAAGCTTTCCTGTAGCTTTTTTTTTTTCCCCCCTCAGAGCTGGTGACAGCATATAGGAAAAGGGCACTTGCCAGTGGCAGCACACGTCTCATACCCACAAACATTCAGTGCCAAGAAAGAAGAGCTCTTCAAATCATTGGAGAGCCAATTCAGGCCCATGGGTGGCCTAAACATTCCCAAGGTGTCCGTGTCTCTCTGCAGAAGCTTGGGATCTTTATTTTGCCTGACTGTAAACCACAGCCCTGGGTGGAAGAGCAAAGGAAGAACTGAAGAGGCAACCCTGGGCTGACTTTTTGCTGGACGCTTTCATCTCCCAAAGTTTCCCTCATGGTGGGGCACCGCAGGTTTTCAGTACAAGCCAAGGATGTCGAAATGCCAGTGAAAAAATCTGCTTTCCTCTAACCCAATGCTCAGAAACAGCTGAACCAGTTTTGCTGAAACCTTAAACATACTCAGCATGAGGCAGATTCCCTCAGAACAGAATTTTTTCCACCTGGTGATTTAAATTTGGCAAAATCATAATCAGATGAATATAGGGATGTAGGATGGAAAATTATAAGCTCCTGCCAGCTCTGCCTAGAATAATAGTTCATATGTTGTCCACCCCTTTTTAGACCAAGATTTGTCTTGTTCGGCTACATCTAATGAATGCCTTTAAGACTGACCTGCCTTAATGTTTATTACGGTTGTAACTCATTTAGTAAATCAAATCATGACGGTGAGGAGGAGGAAGATGTGAGAAGTGAATATCTAACAGATGAGTTATCTGGAAGACGGCAGCACCGACTGACATCACCCCACAATGTGCACTGCCTCTGTCTGGAGCAGTCTGGCTTCCACGGCGCTAGGAAAATCGGAGAGGTGAACTCCCTCCTATTTCCTCCCTGGAAAGTGTTCAAGGCTGTGGCCTCACCTCTCTTGGAAGAGTCTTGAAATATTTTCAATAATGGGAAGGGGTGGAACGGCTGCGGGCTGGATCCTCTTGGAAAGTGCCCTGTAGCATTAGAGGATGACGCTGCTGGTAGCCCGCTCCGGCTGTTAAAAGATGGACTTTGCAGGATTGCTCACTAATTCTGTACAGCCGAACACAGTTACTTCAGCTAGGAATGATTCATCTCTGGTGTAACTCTCCTGAAGTCTGCAGTGTCACAGAGGGTGCTATTTTGGGCGAAACTCCCATTTTGAGAGCAGAAACTGGGCAACTACCACACCAAAAAAATACATGTTAGCGGTTACAGAACTTGCGAGGCAAGGAAAGAGTTCTGTGCTTCGAGACTCATTTAACTTACAAATCGTGGAGTAGTTCATGTGTTGCCCGGAATAACCACCCCAGGAATCAGAAACCTTCTGTGGGGCGTTTATCGCAGGTAATCGGGGGTGCGGTGGAAATACCGCCTGGCATTTGTCGCTGGTTTTGGAAGCATTCATTTCCTGATTTTCCGACGTTTGGGGGTTTTTGTTCGATTTTTTTTTTTTTAATTATTTTATTTTAACGCATTTGCCTGACGGCAGAGCGGCGCGGCC